TGCCGCAGCCCTGCGTCCTGGCTCAGCGCTCTGCTCTCTGGCAGAGAGCCCAGGAACACTCAAAAGCTCCCATCTGTGTCCTGGCTTCCCGGCTCCTAACCCCAGCTCAGGCAGTCTAAAAACTGCCGTGTGTACATTTGGCACCCAGTCCTCCAGCAGGGAGAGGGGAAGTCTTGGGAGACCCTGTGTGAACTGAGGCTCCCAGTGCTCCTGTGCTCTGTGTTACAGCCTGGGGGGTCAGTGAGAAGGGAATCCTCCAGCTGCACAGGCAGGGGCCTTGAAATCCTGGGGGCTCTAACCATCAGCTAGCCTGAAGAGCAGGCACCCACCCTTTGCAGAGAACACTCTCTGTTCTGTAAGCACAGAGTAAATCTATGTGGGGGCCACCGCCAATCTGCCATTATCCCATCCCCTGTCCAAAAATGAATTTGATCTCTCAAGCCCCAAATCAGGTCTATACCTGTGGCAGCAAGATTTATGAAGAACTGCTCTCTGACGTGCTGTTCTCTCCTCCCAAGTCTGTAATGACAATGTCCTCTCCTCCTTCCTGACACAAGGCAGAGCCAGGTGCTGTTTGGCCCTTCCCCTTTCTCAACAAGGCTTTACAGGGATGGAAGTGAGAGGAGCAGTCCTCTTGCTACCAGGGTGGAACCTGTTGTACTGGATTATTTTTGCTCTGGTCTTCTTCTGTCAGAAGGGCTGAGTGATGGACCTTGCTTGCTCTCTGCAGAAGTTGTCATCAGCTGCTGTAGCCCAGAAGCAGGGCTGTGAAGCCAGTAACCAATTAGAGGGATTTCTTCTAAAAATTTTGTCAAGTGCTCTCTTCTGCAAATCACCTTTCTATTCACAAACTGTAAACTTTGGGTCTTCAGCTCCTTCTAACTCAACTCATTATAAGCTTTTCCAGAGCTGGCCAGAGCTTTAGACCTTGGAAAAACAAACTCCTGAACAGTCTGCTAATTGTCAGAAAACCGGACAAGTTTTTAAAGGAAGTATAACTATGATTTGGGGAAAGTTTGATGACACCAAACTATTTCCAAAGAATATGTTGGTTTTGACAGATCAGCATTTTGCAATAACATTACATTTGATCCTCCAAATTCCTGAACAGCTCCAGTCAGGTCTTCATTCTGGTTCGGTGACATCAATGAGATCACCATCCAGTCATGCCAGACAGCAAATCCAGTTTTGTAAAAGGACCTTTCTCAAGCTGTGAATTTCTGCTTTGCAAAGGGTCTTGCCACTACTTTAAATTGCTCTTTGCATTTCAAATTTCCCTTGCTTGAAGGGAAATTCACAGGATGCTGAGAAAGAGGAACAGCAAAGGCATACATTTACAGTGAGATCATTTGTTCAAATGTAATGAACTGCAACTGCTGGTGACATTTTTGGAAAGGAAGGTTAGAATGATTACCTTAAGCCAAGTAACAAGAAATCAGGATGTTTACACACTCCCTCTTCCATTCTGCAAATGTAGAAGGAAGATCTGTGGATGTATGTCTCTTGGTTGAAGGCAAGTAGGGGCTGTAAGGTAGGAGGTGACAGAACTAGCAGGAATTTGCTGACATTCAACGCACATGCTGTGATTAAACTGACATGTCCTCAGATATCCAGCAGTCAGAGACACTTGCAATATCACTGAGGGATCTTCACCAGGAGCATCTCTTTTCAGATATTTGGAATCCATTTGTGCAGGATTACTTCTGAGGTCTTACTTGGTTTACATGTTACACACGCTTTTATCAACTATGTTTATCCCACTACTGCAACTGTTAATGATATGGGAATACATCCAGTTTCCTGGCCCTAAATCTTGTGCTGACATTTATTTATTTATTTGTTTATTTAATCATTTTGAATTGTGGTACTGGACAAGATACTGTAATTTTAACACTGCAGTCTTTGGTGGTAAGATCACCACCAAGAGTGTGCATGCACAGTTTCTCAGATTTTGTTGGTTTGTATGGAGTAGAGTCTTAGAATAATGTAAAATGGCCTGTGGGTAATATTATTGGATCACCAAGATCCAGCAATAAGATTTTAATCCTTTAAATTTCAGGTATTTGATGAATTCAGATTCAAAGGTCATGATCCAAATTGGCTTCAGAAGTGCTTGGTTCAAGACAAATCAAAATGTAATGGGACTTGCTTTATAAGGCTGTTTCTGATTTGCCTCCTTGCTAAGGAAATAAGAAGTTCACCAGAGAGGGAGAGACAAAGTATTCTAGAAATATCAAACAAGAATTTGGGACCATCAAACTTCACCTGGGTACCTCTTGGATTTGTCTTCAAAGTGAGACTGAATGCAAGCTAACAGTAATGCAGATTCAGTCTCAAAACTTTTCAGTCCACTATTAAGCAACATTAAACATAGTGACAGCCGTAAAAGTCCACTGTGCACTAAGGAAATTTGTTAAAACATGCATACTTTTGATCACTTGAGACAAGAAATAGATAGAATAGCAAGCACTCCTAGACCCAGGACTTTAGGTGAGTCAAGTTAGAAATACTTACATTTACTGACCTTAAAGTAAACTTTACTGAACTGTGGACAGATGAGGTTACCTTGCACTGTTTGCAAGGTATGGTAGTGGCACAACTCCTGACAGATCAGGCACTTTCAGGCCCACCCCTCAATCAGAACTGAAGGAAGCAACTGAGAATGGGAATTTTCTTTCTCTGGCCTTTTATACACAGAAGTAAGATTTGTTTTGAGCTTCATGGTTACTCTATGGGCCCATCTGCCCAGCTCTGCGATATGGGATTTACCACAAACTTCTATATGGGTCATTTAGGAGCCTCTAAAGTACATAGCATGTGAGGAGCTTATTGCTTAAGTCTTATGGGACTCAAGCAAATAAAACTGTTTGAATAATAACAATATCTCTTGAACTCAATAAACCTGGAGGATTTTTAGATACAGTTAAAATGGCACACAAGCCAGAAGTATTATTAAAACTGATTCATCTCAGGGCTGTTTTAGCCTGAGAAGCTCACAGCTGGTTTATGTCAAGGTTACTGTGGCTGCAACATCCTGATGAAACCAATTTAAACCTCCCTTATTCATTTTTCTACTGTGTTGTAGCTGTCATCAGTGTATAGACACAGTGCTAACCTCAAGGATATCTTTGAAAATTAAAGGTAAACTTGAGTTTATAGGTTTTGGTTAAAGAGATAAAAACCCCTGTAAAATATCAGGGACTATCTAGATCTTCAGTTCAATGTAAATTCAGAGGATTGTCATAGAAACAAATGCCTTTTTTTTTTTTTTTTTTTTTTTTTTTTTTTTTTTTTTTTTTTTTTTTTTTTTAATACGGGAAGAGACTAATGAATTAGAGCAGTGAGTTAAATAATTTAGAAGAGTATGTTTGACTGCTTAACTCTCAAGCAGCAAGCTTGTATAGCATCTTTTAATTTTTTTTCTCCCTTCTGTATGTATTTCAGTAATTTACTTGTTCACTAATAAAATAAGGTCAGTAAGTCCACTTCCCTCTTCTATACCATCATGTGGAAAATTTGTGTTTAGGAGACTTGCTTCTGAGGTTAGCTGAAGACGGTGCATAAAGAAGATGATCAGTGTGAGGGCAGAGGTAGTGATGCTGACGGCACATATGAACAGTTCTGTGACCGACTGATTTATTAAATGTAGTGTTATGACACTGTTGCATGACTGACAGTTTCATTTCAGAGTCTGGGATGACACTACATAATTATCCTTCTGCCAAGAAATAAAAGGGCAAGTTGAATGCTGATCCAGTTAAGCAGTTCCAGGAAGGGAATATTTCACTGCAAGAAAAGTACAGTTGCAATGCAGAGGATCCCATGTGAATTAAGCAATGCATTACCAGGTGCATGACCTCTTCATTAAAAGCAGGACATTGGCAGCATCTCTCATCATATTTGAAAGGGGCACATAAACTGTTATGGCCATGTATTCAGACAGCCGAGAAGGTCCTAAAGGCAATGACAGAGGTTCTGAGATGGAAAATAAAGAGATAAGTGCTCTGGAGATCAAACAGCATCATCATGTGTGTTTCCCTTCATACCAATGAACATTATATCAGTGCTGGAGACATTACTGAGGGGCATAAAGAGTAGTTTGGTCTCCATACCCATTTTAAACTTTTTGCTGCTAGTCATTCAAACTCCCCTTCAACAACAGTTTTAGCTCTCATCAGCTAAAAAGTGGACAAAGCAAATGCTACTTAGTGAAAAGAAGACCAAGAAGCTCCAAATTATGATATATGCAGCTTATGCCACAGGACAAGATACAGAGAAGCAAGCAGACAAGACGGTACACGGTGTAGTGTCAGAAAAAATACCTGCCAGGAGTCTCTCTGTGGGTGAAAAGGAACCATTGGCTAATATGTATCTACATTTAAAATCTAGGGAAGCAAAATGTTGCAGAGCAGCAAGTCTCCAAAATCTACTTCAGCAGTAGTTGATTAAAAAAACCCAAAACCAAAAACAGCTATATAAAAATGAGAACTCCTATTGGAAAAAATACCTAAAAGGGGCAACTGAAAGAGTAAATGTTAGCGGTTAACATGAAGACTGTTTATAGACAAGACATCAAAGCCTCAGAAGGATGGCAGGACTTCTACCACACAGATTTCAGATATATCAGCACACTCTACCCTAAGCCCAAAACAATCAATTGACACAATTTAATATCAGTTTAATGGAAGGTATTTGAAGTCAGAAGACAGGTTTTCAAATATCTGAGGCTACATTGAAAGGAGGAAAGTTGAAAACAGTATAAAAACTGGCAGGTTAAATATAAATGCATATGAAGGCAGGTTGGAAAAGAGTTTGAGGAACAACTTGAAAAGGACATAAAATGTCATATTAATTCTTTTTCAAACAGACGAGGAATAAAATTCCAGGCGGAAAGTTTTCACAGCAATCAATGGCCAAGCATAAAAGGGAGTACTCAGAGAACATAAGGTCAGAGCAGAAACAGTAAAAAATAATTTTTTGTACCTATGCTCTTTTTGGAGACTTGGAGAACATTTCTCCATTAGACTCCTTGCTGGTCGATGAATCTGAGGATGTGTCACAGACTGAATTGTTAGTGGAAGTGGAACCATCAACAAATTGAGTAGTAACAAATCACTGTATGCAGATGTTGTTTGGAGCAGAGTTGTAAAGGAACACAAGTCTGAAATAGCTGAACTATTAACTGTCATGTAAGACTTCTTGTTTAAAACCACCCTGATAGCAGCTGAAAGGAATTTCTTAAATTTGTTCAAAATAAGAATTCAAAACCATTGAAAACACCAGCTAAACTGGTAAAAAGAGCATTAGACAATATAATAAGTGAGCTGGGGAAGGGGTTAAACAGTGAAGTGGCAAAATTTGCTGATGATACCGTATTGTTCAGGGTAATCAAAATGAAAGCTGTCTGTGAAGATTTGCAGGAGATCCTTATGATGCTAAAGGAGTAATAAAGCAACAAATGAAACTGGATGCATAAAGTAATGCCTATGGGAGAAACAATTCTATATACATTTTAGACTCAGAAATAGTTTCGATCACTCAGGAGAGAGTTTGAATGGTAACTCTTTACTATTGAACAGTTAAGCTTCTAAAATGCTGGGAATTATTTGGGAAAGAATATGGCATGAATCCACAGTGGGCCCAAAACTTGAAAACTGTGTGCACTTCCAAGTGCCATAATCTCAAAAAGTTTATAGTAAAAATAGAAAAGATAAAGAGAAGGACAAGAAGGACTGTTGAAGCTAAACAAAGGCTCCCCTGAGAGGAATGGCACAGAGCCCAGAAAACAACAGAAGGATGCTGTGATAGACTTCTGTGAACAGAGAGTTGCAAAGAAAACGTGAATAAGAGTTAATTGTCCACTGTCTTTCCTTATACAAGAACTATGGACATCAAATAGACCCAGCAGGTGACAGATTCAAAACAAACAGAAAAGAGACACTTCACATAATGCATCACAAGTCCTTAACCCCCCGAGCTGAGTATGTACCAGGGAAGCATCATTAGTTACCTTCCCTATTCCTATTCTTGGAAGAATCCAAGTATAAGAATAGGGACTCTCCTAAGACTTAGAGTCTTAGGGGTAGGTTGCTATTCTCATGTCATAAGACAAATTAATTTAATTCCTCTCATTTCTATTTTCTGAGTTTATTTGTTAAAGGCTCTTATCATGTCAGCAAAATATACAAGGACCTGGAATTGAACCACTGCAGCAAGAACTTCCCAAGAAAGCTGAGGATAAACAGATAAGTTTAGTTTTGTTGAACTTCCAGCAGAAGTCATTTTGGTTAAACATGTATCTCCAGAGAGAAAACATCCCTTTTAAGGCAGAACCATATTAGATTACAGGGTATGTGACACTATTTTTCCACATTCCTTTTTAATGTTCACACAAGCTCTTCCTCCCAGATGTGACATTTCGCCTGACACTTACTGCATGTCATGCGCTGGCCTGAAGGCAGTAGGTGAAAGTGACATGGCATTTAAAGAAAATGTTCCGGACAACATTGTCATGATCTGCAATCACATGAAAATCACTGCTGTTTATTTACAGTGGCTTGGTTAAAGATCTGTACCTGGCCCAAGGGCATAAAGCAGTGACCTAAAGTCTTAAATAGAATTCCACTTGAAATAAAATAAAACAAAGGAAATATGCCACAGTAATAATATTTGAAAGATCTGCTGAGTGGTAAAATAAACACTGCCTCTATTTATCTGGCTATCAATCCATAGAGAACATGAAGTAATTTGTCATGCTGGAATGGTGAGACTCATGAGCATCTTTGGGATCACTTAACTCACATACATGAAAAGTTAGTGGGAAGACACAAGATCAAAACTATCCCTTTTTTAACTTGGCATTACAGTCGACATTAAGTAAATAATAATTTCCCTTTCCTTTTCCCAGCAGTCATCAGTCTTATTTACCTCAGGAATTCCAGCTATTCTCAGTTTAGTTTAATATCTGAAAGAATCTTGTCATGTGCACTAAGAAAGCATTTTTGTATATTTGCATATTTTAAAAAAGGAATTTACAAATAAGCTGGTTTGATTTAAACAACTGTATTTTAAAGCATACGTGATGTTCTATAAGTTGGGAGACAGGATGTGTGGCTTACAGCGGTTCCCTCTGCAGATGTGGTGGATAAGCTTGGGAACCACATACATCTGTCCCCACAGTACAACCCTTATGGAGGTCTGCAGGGCAGAGGGGAGCTGTCGCGTGGCATGTGCTCACACCTTCAGTGCCTGCAGCGTGGGGCACTCCAGCTCCATCCCTGCAGCTCAGAGAGCAGCCCGGGGCTGTCCCTGTTGGCCTGATGGAAGAGCGGTACCCGCCAGGCAGAGCAAAGCATCCATGGAGATGGGTGCATGATCTGGCAGTTAGGTGCAAGATATGCCCAGACTCTCTCTCTTAGTATGTGCCTGGTCCCATTGCCAAGTCAGGCCTTGCATTCATACAATGAAAAGGAACGTCTGGGCTCAAATATGACCCAATAAACAACACAGCACCCATGATTCTGGGTAATTCTCTACCTAGTCCTCCTTCTGGGTTGTATTTCTGAGTGCCTGGTAGATGGGTGTGAAGATGCTGACTCTTTTGCACAAGAAGAACAGCAGAAACAGGTGTTACTGTTCCTAACAACTACCTATTCAGGTATATAAAATCAAATCAGAATTACAAGGCTGTTCTTTCATTTTGTGTATCCTTGTGCTGCATTTACCACATGCTTCCACATTTTCAGCAAATTAGGTAAGAGTGCTACCGACACTCTAGTCATGACAAGGCTGCCTCACTTGCCATGTACACCACTGAACATTGAACAGAAATGCTGCTGGACAAAGCAATAGATAAAACTCTCAAAGATTCAGTGCGGTGCTTAGCAGCAATGAAAAAACAAATCCACAATATATAAATAGAAACACTGCCTATAATCTGGAAGAAATAATTTTAGAATGATTTCAAGTGGACAGCAGCATGCAAACATGAGCAATATGCACAGAGATTAATATTCAGGGGCTAGTATGAGGGGAAAAAGCAACTACAGTAGTGTCTGAGTACATATTCTGGGGTTACAGAGAGGGTAATGGAGAAAACGGCCTGGTTCTCAGAGGGGAGCTGCATGGGGAGATCTCTCTCCATTTTACATTCATAAGCAAAAGAAAGAAAATGATCTAGAATCAAAAGATAATCTACTTAGCACTGAAATCCTGATGCCATGAACTCTTCCCAGAAATTCAGTGTGCTTTTGATGAAGCCCTTATATATCCAGAGCAAGGAAAAGAAAAAGGAATGACCAGGAAAAACATTCTGAAAGGTGGTTTAGTTATCTGTTTGAGGGATTTAAAGAAATGGGGAGGAAACAGCAACGAGCCCAGGTCAATGACACTGCTGAATGCCTTGCCTTCTTTAAATTTTGCATCTCCTTAGGCTTCTCATTAGAACCGTATCTCTGGTCTGAAACAGTAGGAGTCAACAGGATAAATGTACTGTAAGAAACACATTTTCATCCAACAGTTTAAAAGCCTCAGTAAAAATGGTAAAGCTTAATCTGTCCACTGTGGGCTGTAGCTGCAGACGGCATGGGTGGGGCTTCAGTGCAAGTCTTGGCTGCCTGTTTTTTTTAGGGAGCTTGAATAAAGATATTTATTCTTGGAAGAAAATAGGTCAATTATTTTCTATGGCAACTGGAAAATAAACACACAAACTGGCGGCAAAACATCTATCCCTGTTTAAAAAAAAAACAAAAAAAAAAAAAAAAAATAATATTCATTGCTAAACTATTTATTCAGTTAAATTCCATGTTGCCTTTTTAAAGCCTTGAGGAGCACAGTCCACATTGCTGGGAGATGATGGGATGAGCCCCAAGAACTGCTGTGGAAGCTGAGCCTGAGCTGGAGCCTTAAACCTGAACGAGGCCATGGCTGACAGTGTGTGGGGAGAAATTTCACCTGGATGCTTATGCATCAGGAAGCATGAATCATGAGCGCTGTCTCACTTCCAGCAGGATTTGTGCATGCATCATTTGTATATAAACTAAATTTACATCTTAAAAGATGTCAGTACTACTGGGCTGTTGAGGTCAGAGGAAAGTTACTTATTTACTCACTTCCCTTTCTCTGCAGAAGCCAGCAGTACTTGCTTTCAACAGCCTGAAGTTCATTCACTTTTCTTATGCTCCAGCCATCTTTGTTTCTATAGATGGTTTCTTCCTTCCAAAAGTTGGAGGGCTTCCTCAGAGGGAGGAGGGGAGCCTCCTGGCTCCTTTAAAAGAAAGCTGACTGACTTCCCCACTGTCTTTGCTCCCTTTAACAGAAGGAAGCCTCAGCTCTTCTTGGACTATTTAGGACTTTCGTTTGTACATCTCCCTGTTAGTGTTTCTTCCTCTTTGTTGACAATGGGTGATGTACAAAGCCACTGATTGTGAGAAAAGGCAGGTAACATATACCATTATGGTCTATACTCATCAGATGACACTCAAATTCTTATTTCTTATTCAAATTTGGAGTAACTCGATGGATCTGAGTTGCAGAACCATAACTTCAAACTTAGAGTCAATTGAGTACAATTGATGAAGCTTTAACGAAGTACAGTTAACATGAGAAGCCAGCCTATGTTCTTCTTGGGAGAACTCATTTATTTCAAAACAAAAGGATCAAAATGGTGGAATATAACTGAAGTGTGGTTTTATAAAATATCTCTGAATAACATGAAAATGGGGCAGCAGTAGTGATGTAGTAGGCACAGCACTGAAATATAAATACATTAAAATTCTTAAAAATATATTCACATTCCTTATGAATGGAGAGGAAAACTTGCTACTGCTCGCTGCTAGATCAGGATGTCCTAAGATCTGCCAGATGGGGAGAAAACTTAGTAATGGATTCATTCTTCTACACACTTCAATCTTCTACACAACTTGACTTACAGGAATGTACAAATCCCACTTCTTTGACCGCAGAAAAAAAGCAAACAACCTGTGACAGTTTCTTCACTTACCCCTTCAAGACTCTTCCTGCCAGAGTCCTGCCTAATCCAAGAGTCACCTCTCCAGGCTTCCCACAAGCTAACACATCAGACCTGTTCAGATTGCTGAAGCT